TATATTTACAATTTTTAAATTCTCTTAATTATAAAAAAAATGAATTATCAGATGCAAAACATTTCTTTTTAATGTTCTAGATTATATATTTTTAAATAAAAAACATTAGATAATTATATTTAATTAAAGATAGACTAATAATTAAAAAAGCTGTTATAATGATTATTTTTTAATAAAATTTAAAACATTAAAAAGAGGTTTAAAACTATCAAAAGATTGTTTAAAATCTATTTTTAGTGTATTACATCTATTTAAACTAGTTGATTATTTTTTAAATTGATTAAATAATTCTTTTACAAAAATTGATTGTTACAATATAACTCAAAATATATAACGCTTAAACGAATAAACTGTGTTAATATTGATTTATTAAATTTGCTTAATTCTTTACTACTTGTTATCATTGGTAAAAAATAAGAGTTAAATAAATAGAATATTTTGAACTTAAATTTTGAGAATAAAATTTGTTTTAAAAACATTTTTTATAAATAAACTCTTTAGTAGAATTTGATTTTCATTTTAATTATAATTATAATAATAAATTATACAAAAAATCTATTTTTTAATAAATATTTATAAGGTGTTTAAAGAATATAATAATATCTGCTACCAATTGAATAAATAAAAATTTTTATATGTTCTTTTACAATCAACATAATAAACTTTTTAATTAATTTAATGATTTAATTATATTTTTAAATTTTGCAATCAATATCATACTTCATTCAACTATCATAATAATTATTACAATCAATTATGTACAATAATGGATAAAATATGATTTTTATAACCATTTGAATAAAATACAATCATTATATAAATAAATTTTATCCAAGTTTTACAATAAATTAAATATAATATATTTTCATTAATTTTTTGCTCGTTATTAGTTAAAGTAATTTTAATAAAAGTTCTACAAATGTAGTGGTATAAAAGACAGACACAGATGCAGTTGTTCTAGAAAAGACAGTGTTAAAATCTTTTAAAAGGAGTACAGCAGAGTTTGAGGGAAACATAAAGAGGTCTCCAATGACAACAGATAATGTATTGTAACTAGATTACTTGAAGGTTACTCGGTTCGTA